GCGCACTTTTAATACATTGATTGTTATTTTCTATTTTTAGAACGGTTAGGTGGAATCTTAACATTTTCGATAGGCTGCCCGGTACGTTAGTTTGCGAGTGATCAATTTTAGGTACCGAAAGGGCACTAGTAGATCGCTAGTGTAATCAAGTCCCCGAATTTTGGAATCTCTGGTTTTCGCACGTATCGAGACGATACTTCCTCGTCTCGATTAGGGTTTCTAGCCGACCCTTGATCATGACTAGTGGCAACTCCAATCGAATGTGTAAATTAGACAATTCTCGCCGCGTGAGGTATGAGACTCGGGAGTGCCTCGGTCCTTGACAAATACCTCTTGGCCTAAATTCGATCGGTTCGGGTAGGTCGCGACATTTAGGAAATTAGGCCCCTCTATCGGTACCACAACTTTTTAATTAAGATCCAAAACACTTTTCTCGTGCGCTTTTATAAATTTGAAATGAGAATGATTTTTGAAAATTAATTTTGACTATTGAAATCTCTCAGTTTGCAATTAGGCAAAATGGACTGCATATCATGCTAGTTGGAAACCCCGTTTGCACGTTTGACTGCGTATTTTGAAAATGCGCAATGAATGAGACATGTAACGTGGAAAATGACGTGTGAATGACATAATATATGATGTGGAAATTGAGAATGACAATTCGCAAATAACATGGCACATACAACATGCGCAAATGATATGGCATGTGATGTGAAAATTGAAAATATGTACAAGTGGCACATGAGGTGAAAATAGGGAAAATTATTCAAAAAGTCCTAAACCTATTACACTTTTGTTAATTCAGTCCTAAACCTTTCAAGTTTGTCAATTGACTCCTAAACCTTTTCACTTCTTGCCAATTGAGTCTATCCGGCCAATTTTGGCCGCCTGGAGCTGACGTGGACGCTGACCGTCTGGCCAACGCTGACTTGCAATTTTTAATTTTTTTAAATTTTTTTCCTTTTCTTTTTTTTTTTGGCCTTCCCTCTGGCAGGCAAGGTCGACCTCGCCAGCCTCTAGTGAAGCTTGCCCTCGCCCGACCTCGCCATCCCGACCCAAGCAACGGCGACGGCGAGGTCGGCCTTGCCAGATTTGGGCGAGGCTCGAGCGACGGCGAGGTCGGGCGAGGTTCGACCTCGCCCAGCTAGGGGCCGGCGAGGCTCGCCCTTGCCAGTGGCTGGCGGGGGCGAGCTTCGCCAGAGGCCGGCGAGGCTCGCCTTTGGCTGGTTCGACCTCGTCGGCCTCTGGTGGATCACCGGATCGGCTAGAGGGAAGAAGGCCAGGAAAAAAAAGAAAAGGAAAAAAATAAAAAAATATTCAAATTTTCAGAAAAATATTAAAAAAATTTAAAATTGTCACGTCAGCGTTGGCCAGACGGCCGGCGCCGGCCGGTGTCCACATCAGCTCCAGGCGGTCAAAATTGGCCGGATGGACTCAATTGACAAGAAGTGAAAAGGTTTATGACTCAATTGACAAACTTAAAAGGTTTAGGACCGAATTGGCAAAAGTGCAATAGGTTTAGGACTTTTTGGACAATTTTCCGGATGAAAATAGGAGGGGGTGGGTGTGGGTGGGGGTGGGCAAGGTTCACACTGATCTCGACCCCAAGCGCCAATACCTTGCCCCATCCTCACCTACAGGGGGCAATACCCTTTGCCCCATCCCCGTCACATAATAACACGGGTCCGCATTCCCCTAATCTGCCCTGTTGAAATCTTACTTTTAATGAAAAATAAAATGATAAATATTTAGTATTATCGCATCATTCTTACCTTAGATTAATCACACCACAATCATAATACTTATTTTCTACCACCGATGGTGGTGGCGGCCTACTTGGTCACTTGTTGAGATTCCCTTCTCCATATCATGGGGTCGAGCCTTGCTTACTCTAGTCTTATGACTATGTTTGGTGAATTGGTTGTGGACCTGTAATGCGCCGGTGGCATCATAGTGACAAGATCGCCTGCTTCAATGGTGCCTAGTAGCAGAGTCTCAACCTCGCTTAAACTAAACACTCCGTGACGGATATTGAACCCTTACGGTTTTGCCTAGATGGGGTTGTCATTGCTTGTCGCTCCTCCCAATTCTTTCTCTTTAAGAAAAAAACTTTTTTTTTTAAATACCATGTGTTATATAATATAGCAATAGAAGTAGGATATGACCCAAAATTTTAAAAATATTAATGTGTGAAAGATACAAAATAACATAATAAAGTCAATAAACCTCTTGCAAAATGAAGATTTTTATTCTCCATCCCTGTTCTGGAGTAGTATCACCCCAATCGGGATGAGGTGAAGTGCGTCCCAGCGAGGCCGGTCGGAGCAATTTTGTCATCCATATATGCGAATGACTAGATAATAGCAATTCAAAATGACATGCGAATGACATAGAATGTGATATGGCATTTGGAAACGACACAAGCTAATGATATGGCATGTGACGGGGCACTTGAAAGCAGTGTGGAAACAAAAATGACGTGTGGGAATGGCCTGGCAAGTGACACGGTAATTGGTAACTCAAAATGTATGAATGCAGTAGTTGCATGCCATCCATCCATGTTACATTTGATTGTCATGTCATCAGGCATGTCGCATACATGATTGACACATCATTTCGTGTGCAATTTGTACATGATTGCCACGTCACGCATTCATGTCATATACTATTTCTGCATGTCGTTCGCATATGTCATATTCAATATTCACTTGTTATTTCCACATGTCATATACGATTTCCGTGTATCATTTACACGTGTCATATGCTATTTTTACATAATCGTTGATAACTTTTTCTAAGCCATTCAATCACGTTACAATCACACTTCATGCATAACATATTTCAAATATATCTTCACACACGATGGAGTTGCTCAATACGAGATGATGCGATATTTTCACTTGATTGCGTACTGGCCAAAATTCGACTTTTCAAACACTTTCAAATAAATTAAGGAAAATGCACATAAATATGAATTAGGTCTTAATCAATAAGTTGAAGTACCGAAACGACATTTTTGGATACTAATCCATTCCTCACGAAACCGAACTTTGGAATCTCAGCCTCGCGTCAAGGCACATAAACTAGTCATCTTATACATGTCACCTAGATAGTTTATGAGTCTATAACTTTTTAAGTATTTTAGGTATCCACTCAACCTAGGTTAAATAAATCGATTGGTGGTAACACCACTCGAACCAAGTTGAAAAGTTCGAGGAAAATTCGAAATTCTTTGAGTGATTTTTACCAAGTCTGAATGTGCAAATAATTTAACACAATCCGATGCTATCTAGACAACTATAGAAGGGAAACCACAAAGAATGATTTTTAATTTAGTTTATCATTTGTAGAAAAATTACAGGTCATCACTATTTGGAGCACGTGTCAAACAAGATTCAAAGAAGCATTTTATTATGGGATGTATCTGTGGTAATGAAAAAAGTTAACTTAAGTACATAAAAACATATATTTTTTAATGTGCGAACACGAATAAATTCAAACTTGCTAAAAACATGTCAAGATCGAGTTCTATTACACGATGTATTATGAACTTGTGGAACTCTCCCCCGACATTTTCCGCCCTTCTCGTAGCTAAGGCATGTCTCAAAAGAGCAATTTTCGCATGCTTATGATACACGAGTTAAGAGCATGTTCATTAGATTACGTAGGTTTCACGTGAAATTCATTCGATTTAGTGCTTGGAATTATTTAGGCTCACACGTTAGGAATTTGAATTTGGTTGAAAAATGCCTTTACCAAACTCGTTAAGCAATTAAACAAGAAAATATTATTATTTCAGTACTTTAATTTTTCTCTAAGTGCTTGGAAAATAGAACACTTTCTTGATTAAATATGTCCGATAATTACCTCGAGACATTCATTAACGAGATATAATATGGAGTTTTCGATGTCAAGCCTTAATTCCATCCATCTGCACTGAGAAATCTAAGCGTTTCCACAAAATCCATATTTCTTAGAGATCCTTAGGTTCGTATGTTTCTAAATAAAAAAAATTACAGATTAACTTTCTTATCAATTTTAAAATTATAATTTTTACATTCCATATGGACTTTTAAAGATTTTCAATATATAGTTTTAAACAAAGATTGAAATTCAACTACGAAAATTAAAATTGAAAAATAAAGGTATTCTCAAAAGAACCCTTATTTATAAAATTGATTGACATAATGATATGATGAATTATAAATTTGACACACGAGAAAAATGTTACTCTTAAAAGGTAATCAATTATTATTATTATGTGATTTGTAGACTTTTTTCAAGAAAACAGGCCTTCTTTTTTCAACATGCAAATTTTCAAATTTCTTCTCTCTCTCTTTTTTTTTTTAAATTTCAATTTCCTCCCGTTACTCTGTCTCTCCTCTCACTTTCTTCTTCCTTTCTTTTTTTTTTTGGGATAATGATAAAAACAATCTCTGAACTTTGGTCCAATGTGCAATTTTGTCCATGAACTTTTAATTTGTTCAATATAGTCCCTAAACTTTAACCTAATATTCAATGTAGTTCCTGAACTTTTAATTTGTTCAATGTGGTCTCTGGACTTTTGGTACATGTTCAATTTAGTCCCTGAACTATATGAAAATATTCAATGTGGTGAAATTTTGGTACATGTTCAATTTAATCCATGAACTATATGAAAATGTTCAATGTGGTCCCACATTGAACATTTTCATATAGTTAAGGGACTAAATTGAACATGTACCACCAAAATTTCAAGGATGACATTGAACAAATTAAAAGTTCAGGAACCACACTGCATATTTGGTTAAAGTTCAGGGACTACATTGAACAAATTAAAAATTCAGGAACTAAATTACACATTAGGCTAAAGTTTAGGGACTGCTTGTGTCATTTTTCCCCTTTTTTTTGGTCAAATTCTTCTTCCTTCTTCAAATGCCTCTCCTTGGTTTTCTTTTCCGACCGTTGCTCTCTCTCTCTCTCTCTCTCTCTCTCTCTCTCTCTTTCTCTCTCTCGTCATTCTCGTTTCTTCTTCTTCCTTCTTCAACAAATCACCAAAGAACCCTCAACACCCTCGAGGTCTCGCGACCCTCCGGCGTTGATTAGGTCGCGCTGCTCACTGAGGTCTCGGATCCCGGTGGCCACCATGATAGGTCGTCGTTCACTGCGTTGTTCTTAGCGTGCTGGATCGGTGACGGAATGTTGTCTGCACTGCAGTCCTTGCCGATCGTGAAACGGAGCCGGCATTACAGGTGATGCCTTTTGTTTTTGGCACGACTCTGTATTTTCCTGCTTGTGGGATTGAGCTTCTTGAGAAGATTACTAATGTGTATCTTGACCAATACCTGTGGTACGAAGGTGAGAAATTTCATCTGTTTTCCAAATGGATTAAGCCTGCGGATTGAGAGCCACCTCCGCTCTTGGTCTACAATTGGTGCCTTGGTATATATAACTTACTGGGTAGATGTGATACAAGTGAGGATTGTATAGTCATGCTTTAAACCAGATTGGATAAATTACTTGAAAAACATGACTTGACTATGTTGAATTGGTAATGTGCTGTAGTCTCTTATCTGTGATGTCATTAGGATTCTCAGGGATATGTCTAACGTGGCTTTTGTGCATTTGCAGGACTCTTCGCTTAGTTCTTGATCACAACATTGCCAATTGTGTTAATGAGAAGTATAATGTTGCCTCTTTTACAAGGATATGAGCCACACATACTCTTTACGGTCTTATAAGGGGACTTCCGTTTGCTTCTTTGGTTGTCCAGTGTTATGGACAAAAGGATATGAGCCACACAAGCAACTTCGCTTAGTTCTTAATTACGTGGTTTTAGAGTCATTCGAGTACAAAAGGATCACAAATGTGGAGATCTGATTGGAATCAGATTCCTAAGGTTTACCCTGTGGTGGTCGCCGACAATTAACAGAGCGAATGTTTATTTGGGATTCCAAGTGCAGTGGGATCTTAATGGGATATTTACTTACAGAAAGTTTCTACATTGACGATTTCTCTAATCCAGATATTCAGCGCTCATTTTTGGCAAAAGATCCATGACAGTGTTGCTATGGATCTCTGCCAAGTTCTTCACCAGGAGCTTGAGTCATTGGAAATTGGAACTGTCTGAAGGAAACTATCCACCCGAGGAAGGGAACAGTTCTCGTGCAGACATTCTCCTCTTTGATTCTCATAGATGGTCTTTGATGGTTTTGATTTTCTGCGTACGCTCTGTTTGCATACAGTTATAGCATGGTTTATGGCCTTTGGATATATTTTCAGTTGGATGAGGTCATATGTCATGCATTTTCTGAGTGTTTGATGCTAAATTTTTCACAGCCATGGGAAAGTGAGTTTATTGATTTAGGAGACGGGCTGAATATGCCTTCAAGAAGCAAGAAGCACAGGCACAAAACGGGTGTTTAACCTTGGAGATTTGGAGGTAAGAAGCTAGAGTTTTTTCCTCTACAAGTTTATCTTTTTCGTATTCTTCCTGATATATTTGATCTCGTGACATGATTTACTGTCTTTTTATTGAATAGGGCATTAGAACTTCCGGTTGCGGATATTCAAGGATTATGCTCCTGCAAATTCACTGCCTTTGCTTTCATAGTATTCATAGGACAGAGGGATACCTCGGATGAATACACTGTTGCAGGAGGATAGGCAATGAGCTTGGAGGTGGTGAAACAAACCCTTCTTGGTGGTCGCACCAGAGGCACGATCGTAAACTTCGGAACATGAATAACTAATGGATTGAAGGGGGTTTGCTTCCTACGTTAAGTTAGTGATCTCACTTTTGTTCACACAGATGCTAATCTTGTTTTATTGCTTCGAGAGTAATGGGTTCGTTGGAGCACTCATTGTCAAGTCTGTCGATTGATGGTTCCATTAGAGCAGACGGACAGAGATTGGAGAGCGTATAAGAGAAACAAATGGTAGGACCATCTCAGATATAGGATCTGGAGGTGGATCTGGTGGAACTATCCTTCTGTTTATTCATGCGTTGGTCCTTGGTGACTCTTCCATATATCATCTCTACCGTCGCACATGGGAGTCCCAATGGCGGTGGTGGCGGAGGTGGTGGGAGAGTTCACTTTCACTGGTCAAGTATTCCTTTTGGGGACGAATGTCATTCTCAACATGAGCAAAAGTACCAAAAAAGTCATAAACTTATTATATTAGTGTTAATTTAGTCCTAAATCTTTCAATTGGAGCAATTTAATCCTAAACCTTTTTCACATTAGTACAAATTCAGTCCGTCCGGCCGATTTAAGCCAGAAATCGCTGACGTGGCATGACCACTCCCACGTGGCACAACCAACGCTAAAATGGACATTTTTAAATATTTTTTTATTATTTGTTTCTTTTATTTTCCCTTTTCTTTTTTTCTTCTCTTTTCTTTCTTCCTTTCCTTTTTTTTTTCTTTCCTTACTCTTCCCTCCGCCGGTCGCCAGCTTCCATGGTGAAAGGCGGAGGCCGCTGGTGGCCGGCGAGGGCGAGGGCCAAGATGCCCTCGCCGACCACTCCCTGGCCCTTGGCGAGGGCTGGACGAGGCCACCCCTCGCCAGATCTGGCAAGGGAACCTTTGCCCAACCCACGCCAGAGGCCGGCAAAGGCCGGCACGCCCTAGCCCAGATGGCGAGGCCACCCCTCGCCAAATCTAGTGGGGGGACCCTCGTCCAGCCCTCGCTAGATTTGATCTGGCGAGGGGTAGCCTCACCCAGATGGCGAGGGGCCTTGCCAGCCTTTGGCGACAACGAGGGCGTCCGGGCTTTCACCAAATCTGGTGAGAACTTCTGGTGAGGGCTGGGGTTCCCCTCGCAGGATCTGGCCAGGGGCAGCCTCGTCCAGCCCTCGCCGACCCTCACCAAAGGCTGGCGAGGGCTGGCGTCCCCTGTGGCTGGAGACGCCCTTGCCCTCGCCCTCACCGGCAGCCTTCGCCGGTCACCATGGAGGCTGGCGACCGACAGAGGGAAGAGGAAGGAAAGAAAAAAAAAAGGAAAGGAAAAAAGAAAGAAAAGAGAAGAAAAAAAGGGAAAATAAAAGAAAAAAATTTGAAAAATTATTTAAAAATGTCCACGTCAGCGTCGGTCGTGCCATGTATGACCCCCGGCGTCCATGTCAGTGATTTCCGGCTTAAATTGGCCGGACGGATTGAATTAATATCAATGTGAAAATGTTTAGGACTAAATTGATCAAATTGAAAGGTTTATGACTGAATTGGTGCCAATGCAATATGTTATGACTTTTTTGGTACTTTTTCCCCTAAGCCAGTGTCAAAGGAAACATCCGAACAGGGTTTGTATCTACCAATATATTTATTCAAGCTTGAGTGCATCAATTAGCATGCTCTTGTACATGCACATGTTCACTGCTTTGATTCGGATAAATTACCCTAGTTCTAGGTTTTGATGCGGTCAAGGTTTTTCAATATATTAGCGAGTGTTCTGTAGTGTAGCGAGTGTTATCTTTTGTGAACTTTATCTATCACACAAGTCCCCTGACAAACTTCTGCTAATCGACGGTGCATGCAGAAGAACTTTTAAATTTTCTGGTCAAATGCAAGAGTACAATCCATTCCTGTATCAAGATTGGATTGAATTGGAAAATGCTCAGCAGGTGATTGTTTTAATATTTGATGAGTGGGCGAGAAATCGGCCATTACTAATTTGACTTTTAATTCTCCACTTTCTTTCAGGATTCCTTCTGCTACTTTTTACACCCCAAAGGAAATTGGAGGTCTTAATATGCTGTCAATGGGTCATCGTAGCGACATTCGATATAGCATGCATACTGATGCTGGTGTGACCCATTTCCAAAATGAAAAGGAGTCATCAAGACGATCAATTGATATCAAACATTTATCTATGCATGCAGATAAAACAAGATTTATTGTTGAGAGAAAAAATGAACTAAATTCTTGATTAGGTCGATATGACCCAGGCTATCTTTTTATAATAAAGCCAAAAGGTCATACTTTCAATACCACCTTCATTGCCGCAATACATTAAATAATAAAAGAAATAGACAAATATGCCTCTATCAGCCAAATACTCTCAACTCCCCCTCAAGTTGGAGCATAGATATCACACATGCCCAAATTGACTAAAATAGGATGAAACGTTTTACCCCCTAATCCTTTGGTGAACACATTAGCAAGTTGATCAACATATTGAACAAATGGCATACAAATTAAACCACTATCCAACTTCTCCTTGATAAAGTGTCTGTCAATCTTTACATGTTTCGTACGGTCATGCTGTACAGGATTATAAGCAATACTAATGGCAACCTTATTATCACAATATAGCATCATAGGACTATGAATAGATACATCAAAATCTTCAAGTAATCCTTTAAGCCATAACAGCTCACAAACTCTGTGTGCCATTGCATGAAACTTTGCTTCAGCACTAGATTGGGCAACCACATTCTGCTTTTTGTTGCGCCAAGTCACAAGATTCCCTCATAAGAAAGTACAATACCCAGAAATAAACTTCCGGTCAGGATATCCAGCCCAATCAACATCTGTATAGGCTTTGACTTTCAAGCCATCACGAGGAGACAAAAGAATCCCTTTTCCAGGAGGAAACTTCAAATACCAAAAGATCCGAAGAACAATATTCATATGAGTAGAATATGGATCATACATAAACTAACTTACCAGACTCACTGCAAAAGCAATATTAGGTTAGGTATGGGACAAATAAATCAACTTGCCCACTAATCGCTGATAACGACCTTTATCCACCAAATCGCCATCCTTTTCTCGAAGACGAGTATTGATCTCAATAGGTGTATCAAAGGGATGACATCCCAATAATCCAACTTCTGCCAAAAGATCAATGACGTATTCAGTTGGGATAGAAAGATACATTTTGAAGATCATGAAACTTCAATCCCAAGAAAGTATCGAAGCTTTCTAAGATCCTTTATCTCGAATTCTTGTCCAAGAAATGTCCTCAACCGGCTGGTCTCATCACTATCATTCCCTGTGACAACAATGTTGTCTATATAGACAATGAAAATAGTGACTTTAGCACCTAATTCCTTCACAAACAAAGTATCATTAGCATTACTTTGTTTATACTCAACAGAGACCATAGCTTTCTGAAACCTACCAAACCATGCTCGAGGTTACTGCTTTAAATCATAAAGTACACGTTTCATCTTACACACTTTACCTTGAGTTTTGTCGCAAGAAAAAGCTAGAGGAATTTCTCTATACACTTCATCTTCTAACTTTCTATGAAAGGCATTCTTCACATCTAACTATTGAAGATCTCATATCGGTTAATAACACACGAAAATAGCACTCGAACAGTATTCAACTTGGCAACAGGAGCAAAGGTTTATTGATGGTCAATATCACAAGTCTGAGTAAATCCTTTTGCTGTTAACCGTACTTTATATCTGTTTACAGTTTCATTCATCTTTTGTTTGACTACAAACACTCACTTACCACCAGGAGGAAGAACGGCAAGATCCCATGTGCAATTTTTCTTCAAAACATGTATATCCTTCGCCATTGCTACCTACCACTACTCATCTGCAAAAGCTTCTTGCCATTTCCAAAATGGAAGGGAGTCATCAAGAGGATCAATTGATAGCAAACCTTCATCGATGCATGCAGATACAACAAGATTTATGCTAGTTTCAAAATGTTTGAAGTTTTCCAAAAAAATTCGAGTTCACTGACGTGTTCTTCGATTTTTATGATTTTTTGTGTTTCGAATTTTGAAATATTTTGTGACATATAACTTCTAGATAAGAACAAGAGCTTTCTAATGATATAAATTTTGTGAAAATCGGAATTCAATTGATCATATTAAAAGCTTGCTCAAAACAGTAAAAGTTTTTGAGTTTGATCTAAAAAATTGACCTCTGCGTCCTTCAAATTTGTTTTGCAATTTCGAGGTGAGGTCCTTTTTGCAAAAATTCAAAAAATGAAAGTTGTTCAAAAGGTCCTAGAAAGTGTGAGGTCATTTCAGTAAAGTTTAGGTGGTCTTATATGCAATAAATCGGACAAGGTCTGGTTGGCCTATAAAACAGTTTGCATTTGAGTTCTTAGAGAAAATCGGTAATTTTGTCTAAAATGAAGGGCCTATTTACAAAATATAAAAACATGAAAGTTATATAGGACACATAGGGCTAACTGTCTGTCAAATTTGGCGCGTTTTTTAATTGATTGATATTTTTACCGCATTTTTGAAAGTTTTTGCATAACTATTTTGCTTCTCAACGCTTGTTCTAAATCTTCAAAATTGAAAAGGAAGCAGATTGATTTCCAAATTAAGTTCAAAGCACGAAACAAATTCTCGGAAATCCTCGATGTCAACGATAATAAACATTTCGATCGTTAGAGACTCCGCTGTGAATAAGCATCACCGCGACTAAGTTTATAGTAAGCACATTGTCTCCACTCTTCTTCATCATTATGATAGCAACCCATGCATTGGTTGAACTCCGCAGTCCGCATATAGACTTCCACGTGACAAAAACAACAACAACAATCGAAGTCATAACTCTCGCTTCGAAGAGAGGGAGAGAGATAGAGAGAGACTAACTTTCCAACGTCGATGTCCTTGTTCTGCAACGAGAGAATCGACAGCAAGTTCGGCTAGGGACTATCCTTCTGCACCATTGGATTGGCTTCTTCGACTTGTGCCAGTCCTTCGACTTCATCCGTGGAATCAACACGGTGCGAATTGCTATGTCTCGACGAGCTCTCTTCTGCGTGCTTGATCGAGTCCTCTTCTTCTTCTTGCCTTTTGAGTGTTTAGCACCCTGACTTCGCTTCTTTGGCCATTGTTGACGTCACTCTAGCCTAAGAAATTGCAGAGAGAGAAAGAAAGAAAGAGGAGGAGGGGTTTAGACTTAGAGGACTGAGGGAGGACGGAAGAGTAAGCGGTTCATTGAACGGTTTTAAGCCGGGTCATGAGCCAATCTGGCTTGAATCAGGCCATGCTCCAGTAGGTATAACGGATATGGAGCTGATAGAGTACTTGAATGACATTACATCCCAAAACTTACATGGCCCGGCTCGAGAACAGGTGCGCTAGGCACATCAAGACCGTCGGATTAGATAGCAACGGCGGGAGCCCTACCCTCAAATTTAAATTTTTTCCATCGATTCTAGTCCGTTGGATTGGGTGCATCGTAACCGCTGATGTTATGGGCTGCATGTGGATCCCACAAGATCAATGATTGCAATGCACTCAATCCACTAAACATGAAATCTGAAAACAATTTCCCCTCGATCTCGAGACCAATTCAACCTAATATGATCCTCAAGGTATTGGTAAGTTTTAATTGAGCGCTATGCCATTGAACAAGACTGCAACTTGCGAGTACATGGCACGAATCAAATTCATAATATCATAATTAAATAGTGCTAGCCCCAAATTATACAAAGAGACATGTGAACATTAGTTATCAATATTTTCTCCTCATAAACAATGAGGCTACCTCTAATTGCGCTTAAAATAAACTTAGATTTTTCTGACCTATAAATATACATACACTCTTAGATTTTTCACATTCTCTTATTACATTCTTGACATGTGAGGAAAGCATGAATTTAACTTTGGGACCAAAAAACACCCAAAAATATCACAGTTTCCATCAATGGCTCATTTGAATTTACTTCCATCAAATTCTTTTGCTAATTGATCTTATTTAAATCCTCAAAGAAATCAACTTTTAAAAATGTATAAACTATCATTAACCTAATTAAATCTAATTGGTCCCATCTTGCCTGGCCTATGCAAGCCCTTGTGAGACTATATTTGGGAAAAATTATCTTATCAATACTAAATTTATTATACATAGGCTAATTTTATCATAAACTTTTTTTAAAAAAAATTTGTTAATTTCATCTTAAATATTTGTGTGAAATTTCAATATAGTATTTCCGATCATTCATTGCCGATCGTCCTACGTGACACACCAGCGACTTCTGGCAAGAATTGACCGGAATGACTGCATTTAATTTTGCACGTATCTATCCGTAGCCAACTCGAACCTACGGTTTGGGAAGACCCTAGGAACCAAGGCACCAACCTCGGTCTACGAAGTTCGTGGCACTACAATACCGTGTTGGAGATATGATTTGTTCAATTGATTTGATTGAAGATACTTGAATCAATGTAGGGTTTAGATTGATATCAATTAGTGATTTAGAATGATTTCCTATCTTTGTATTTTCCTTTTATTATTTATACTTTGTAATATAAATACATGTAAAGAATACATATCAAATCAGACTGAATACAAAGAAATTCTTCAAGCTCCTTCTCTCTCTCATTTTCTGTCATGGTATCAGAGCATATATTCTTGGTTTAGCTTCCGCAAATTCTCTTTCTTGATTGCCTTCCGGTTTTTTCTACCCATGTTGCAAGAAAACTAATATGCAAAACAAGGTTAGCACGCTAGTGTAAGAATCATTTTTTGAGCGATTAAATAATAAAAAAGGTACTCTCTTAACGATACCATGCCGAGGAACTCTTCAAAATCAGAAGATTCAATTCCAGAAAGAAATCCGGAGGATACACCTCATTCGGACTCGCGTCTGGACTCAATGCTCGAGGATCCGATTGGAGTCGGACCAAGTCAGAAGTCCATCGAACTGATCTAGCCCATCCAACGAGATCTTGCTCAAGTCCAGCCAAACCAGGGGCAACCTAATTTGGGCCAGCCCATCTAATGGCTACAGGCTATTTATGCACGGCCCATTCAATCCACTATGGTATGGGCCAAACCATTTGAACCTATGGTATAATTTTCAAGGGCCAACAAACTAGGCCCAAGATTTTGAAGGCCATGGAGCCAGGCCGAGGGAGCCCACCGATCAATATTGTGGTAAGTGCCCCGGCCTATGGTTGCCCGGAGCTTGGCAACCCCCTGTATACCTCCATCGCCGATAGGCTGAAGCTGCGACTCATCAGCCAGCAGTTGTTCGAGCCGGAGAATTATCACATGTGATCCCAAGAATTTCGACGAGCCTTGGTAATGAAGGACAAGGACAGCTTCCTTGACGGAGCCGCCCCGATTCCCTCCGACAAGCATCCGGCGCGACACTGGAAGAAATGCAATCAACTTGTCCGAACATGGATCGGTAATATAATTTCTCCGGAAGTCGTGGCTGAACTTCCTCCAATTGAGAACTTGAAATGCATGTGGGAGAATATCAAAGGAATGTATGGTAAGTTAGACCGAGCGAAGATTTTTGCTCATACGCAGGCATGCAATGAACTCAAGCAAGGGAATATGACGGTCACGGCTTGCTTCAACAAGCTCTCGTCGCTTTGGAATGATATGGAAGTAGCCGAGGAGAAACTCGAGGGACTGGAGTCAACATTCAAACAGTATAGACCTGTGAAGGAAAGAAAGAAAGCTGCTCGTTTTCTTTTGATTTTGAATGAGACGCACCTGACATTTCGCTCCCAGATCCTGGCGATGGAACTGATGCCGGTGCTCGGCCGAATTTACCAGCTCGCCGTCCAGGAGGAAAGCCAACGTTTAGCTTCGTGGGAACATGTGAAGGTCAGGGAGTCCATGCTCCTCGTAGCTCAGGTGAAGACCCAGCAGAGAAGGAACGCCAGAAAATCAGGGGAAGAACGGAGGCAGATTTCGACGTGCACTCTAGGGTTTGCTGAAGACCTCCGCCCATAACATGGACGGCTCAGATTTGTTTATGAAATCTAGACGGCCCACGTGCGAAGCATTTAACGTCCAGATCGGATGCTCCCTACGAAGCCACGTTAGCACCGATATTTAAATCGGTCATTCCATCTCTTGCCACGTCTCAAAAAGGAAATGGACATAATTTCAAAGGCAAAGGTAAATTATTTTGTGATTATTGCGACGTCCGCGTCACACTATAGATACTTGCTAGAAGTTGCATGAAAAACCTAGACAAAAGGATAGAAATAAAGGTAATTCCCAACTAATCAGGTCATGGTGCAAATATTGATAAAAGAAATTAGGCAAAATCATTCATGACCAGTATCAACGGCTCATGAAGGCCTTGAAGTAATTTGATATTTCTGACAAGACAGTAAGTTTCTCAGGTACCTCTTACTGCTTAATGAATTATATTTCAAGTGATGAGTGGATAAATTGATTCGGGTATTAATGACCATATTATTTGCGACAAAAGATTCTTTGGTCATATTCATGCTCATATGAATTCACCTACATCCATTAGTTTTCCTAATCGGCATGTCACTTACACGATCAATCTTACCCCTTCTATCATCCTTCGAAATGTCCTCTACATTCTCAATTTCAATTTAATCTCATTTCTGTCTGCAAAGTTTGCCAAGACAATTCATGTTTTGTCTTTTTCAATTCTAATAATTGTTTCTATCAAGCCCTTTCAACTGGCAAACTAATGGGCTTGGGTAGTGTTTCACAAGGGCTTTATTTTTTGACTAGTTTTCCACAAAATTTTGATTTGTCAAATGTTTCCTTGAATAAACATTCATAGTGTAATACCGCTATCAATGATAATATTTTTCTTTCTCATCAACGATTGGGCCATAGTGCTTCTTTTCCCTATCCTCACTGCAAAAAATGTCCAGTAGCAAAACAATCACGTAAGCCTCTCCCTCACAGCAAATCAAGTGCCAACAAAAATTTTGCAATCATCCACTTTGACGTTTGAGGTCATATCATACTCCACATCGTGAAGGATCATGATTTTTTTTTTACTATCGTGGATGATTATTCTCGAGCCACATGGGTTTTCCTTATGTAATCAAAAGGCCAAGTCCCTTCTCGTCTTAAAACTTTCCTCTTCCTAACTACAAATCAGTTTGGGACTTCTGTCCAACTCATTCGAACTAACAATTGAAGTGAATTTCTTAATCATGAATGTGCAACTCTCTTCTCTTCCCATGGAATTCTCCATGAACGATCTTGCATTTACACTCCACAAAAAAATGAGATTGTCAAACACAAACACCGTCACCTCCTAGAAGTTGCACGTGCTGTTAATTTCAAGCTTCCATTCCAGAAACCTTTTGGGGCATTTGTGTGGTCATGGTAGCTTAACTGATCAATCGAATGCCATCTTAGATTCTTGAAGGATGAACACCCTTTTGAGTTTCTCTTAGGTAAGAAACCTGAAACTTATCATTTAAGAGTTTTTGGCTATTTATGCTGTGTTGCTATTGTGGGTCCTCGAGACAAAATGGGTCCCTGCGCCCGTCGTTGTATTTTCATTGGTTATTCGACTCTCCAGAAAGGTCATCGTGTTTTCGAGCCATCCACCAGGAATTTCTTTGAGAGCAAAGATACCATTTTCCAAGCAAGCATATTTCTCATTCAAGATGAAGACAAACCAATTGAATCTTCCGGTCACACAGAACATCATCGTTCTTTCTTATTTGAAGAGGATTTATTTCCAAATTAGCATTTAGGGGTGCGTTTATTTCAAAGAAAGTGTTTTCTGAGAATCCGTTTTTCGGACTTTCACCCGTTTGGTTCGCCGAAAATGATTAGTCAACCGAAAACACTTTCCGATCAAGAAAAACATTCATGTATAAAATTATGAAAGTGAATTCCTTAATCTAATAAAGTGAAAACACTTTTCGGAATTGCTCACTTGACTTTTTAAATATTTTATTCTTTTCTTTCTTTTTCTTTTCCTTCTTCTCCCCTCCGCCGTTTACCGGCCTCTGTGACGGTCGGCGACCGGCCACAAGCGCGAGCCAACCGTCGCTAGCCAGTCGTGGTAGAGGAAGGAGTAAAAAGAAAAGGAAAGAAAAGAAAAAAGAAAAAGAAAAAGAAAAAGAAAAGTAAGAAAGAAAATAAAAAATAATTAAAAATTCGATTTGTTTAAATAAAATAAAAAATAAAAAGTAGTTAACATCTTGAGATAAAATCATGGGATTGAAATCATTTTCCAAATGTGATCCAAACACCGAAAAATGTTTTTTATTACATATCACCAAATAAAGGAAAAGTAACCACTTTCCTGAAAAATAATTTTCCAGAAAACATTTTTCAAAAACGTTACGTTTTCCGTGAAACAAACGCACCCTTATCGTTCAATGCACCTCCAGTAAATCCGATATTGTCTCCGGCTATAGAACGCAGTGAAGACCGTTCAACTCCTCTGGATTTTTTGATTAAAAGCTTCAATCAATCAGTTGAAGGAGGTCTTGTACACCCTCTGACAACATCTCTTATGGAAGATATTAATGGAACATCTATCCATTCTATACCTGAAACAGACAATATTGAGCAACCTCGACGTTCGGGGCGTGTCATTCGTCCACCCACATGGATCAAGGATTATGTATGTGCCATCTTGAATTCTTCAAGTATCCACTATCCCGTATCTTCATTTGTTTCATTTAATCAGCTATCATCGGAACATATGTGTTGTGTCAGTTGTATATCTAAGGAAAGAGAACCATTATCCTATGATGAAGCAATCATTAACTCACGTTGGCAGAAAGCCATGAAGGCCGAATTACATGCCTTAATGGAAAATAAGACTTGGGATATTGTACCCTTACCTGCTCATCGTAAGCTAATTGGTTGCAAATGGGTGTACAAGATCAAATATAAGGCAAATAGGTCTGTTGAAAGATACAAGGTACGTGTAGTGGCCAAAGGCTTTACACAATGAGAAGGTTTCGATAACCATGAAACCTTCTCGTCAGTAGTTAAAGAAGTCATAATTCACTTATTATGTATTGCCGCATGTCGCAACCGGTAACTCCATCAAATGGATGTCCACAATGCTTTTCTTCATGGTCATCTGGATGAGGAAATCTACATGGATCTTATGCATGGTTTACGGAGACCGGGGGAGTCTAGGGTATGTCGCCTCCATAAATCCCGTCATGGACTCAAGCAAGCTTCCCATCAATGGTATGCAAAATTTACTACCGCACTCACAGCTGTTGGTTTCAGACAATCCAGGCATGACTATGCATTATTCACATGGACAAAAGGTGCGTCGTCTATATATTTGATGATATGTGTTAATGACATTCTCATTATGGGATCCGATGAATCTACTGTCAAGGATCTTAAAAGGTATCTACATGCTACTTTTCACATTAAGGATCTAGGTCCTCCCAAATATTTCATTGGGATTGAGATTGCACAATTGAAAAAAGGAATCTCACTTAGCCAATGGAAATTCATTCTAAGGATTATATCAGAGGCAGGTCTATTAGGGTGTAAAACCAGTAATTATTTCTATTGAGCATAATATCAAATTGACCACTCTTGATTATGATATGGGAACATTGTCCAATAATGATGATCCACTGCTCAAAGACCTATCGAGCTATCAAAGACTCGTAGGTAAACTTATCTACCTTACTATGACAAGACCTTGCATATGCTTTGCAGTACAAACACTGAGCCAGTTCAGGCACAATCCAAAACAATCCCATATGAATGCAACTCTGAAAGTTGTCTAATGCTCGAAGAAATGTCCAGGAATTGAAATACTTCTTTCTCGAGAGTGTAACATGGAAATGATAGCCTATTGTGCTAGAGACCATGCTACCTGTTCGATGACCTAAAGGTCTATTACTAGATTCAGCATTAAGCTTGGAAAGTCCTTACTTTCATAGAAAACGAAGAAGCAATCAACTGTGTCATTATCATCAACTGAGGCTGAATATCGAGCTATGGTTAAAACTATTTTTGAGATAGTATGGATGCAAGGCATACTTCTTGACCTTGGCATACAAGTTCAATGACCAACGACGCTGTTTTTCCGATAATGATGCAGCATTCAAACTTACAGCTAACCCCATAATTCATGAATGGACAAAGCATATAGAAATTGACTGTCATTTCACTCGAGACAAGATCCATGAAGGGATAGTTAGAACAAAGGGAATTGGGACTTCAGAACAACCTGCTGATATTCTCACCAAACTCTTGTGTCAAAGGCAACACACATATCTGTTAAGCAAGCTGGGTGTCTTGGACATATATAAGTCACCAACTCGAGGCGGAGTGTTAGAGATATGATTTGTGCAATTGATTGGATTGAAGATACTTGAATCAATCTAGGGTTTAGATTGATATCAATTAGTGATTCAGAATGATTTTGTATCTTTGTATTTTCCTTTTATTGTTTACACTTTGTAATATAAATACATGTAAAGAATACATATCAAATCAGACTGAATACAAAGAAATTCTTCAACCTCCTTCTCTCTTTCATTTCGTGTCCAATACCGAGGGGATCGCAAGGAAACATCCTGTTACGGGTCCAATTATTAATGCGAGAAAAACTTGGATTGTCATTGACGGCGATATCTATCTTGCCGTTAGATGACTTCCATGGATGAACAAAGTCATCAAAATGGGCACACATGCAGAAACATGTCAGCGCTGACTCGTTCAATCCGCTTGTGTAAACCCTCGCGAATCATCATCTATTTCGACGAATGAACCAAGGAAAACCTGAAAAAACAAGAGGCTAAAGCCCCTGGTTCTGTCCGAAGTCAAGCCCCTAACAGCCCACCGTTTGAACAGAAGCTTATCTTTTTGCCGTTGCCGTCCAATGTGATGGCTGCTCATTCTCGCAAGAGCAGTATATATATACAAATGACAGACCCACACACCCTATTGTCTTATAAGCAATTCATACTCTAATCAAGGAAGCAGCTGGAGAATTAAGCGCACGTCCT